AAATTCAAGAGGTTGCCGACTACCGGGGATGTTCTGTTGCATAATGGCTTCTATGGTAAAATCCGATGCATCAACCGCTATACTAAGCGTGGCTGACGGATCTGGATGTGCGAGGAGTGAGACTTGAGCCAGGGCCGTTTTGATCTCTGAAATTGCAGCACGCTTAGTATCGTTCAATTCTAGTTTGCGTGGATCGCCGCGAAGTAAATCGGTTAATGGTCGTAACCGTTCTGCCGCCTGTGGGATGAAACGACGGTAGAAGTTAACCAAGCCAAGAAATGCCTCCAGTTCCTTGAGTAAGGACGGAACGTTGTACTCTCTTATTGCATGTACTTTATCCTCACAAGGTAAAATACCCTCTTGCTTAATGATGCGACCCAGAAACATTATTTCCGACTTGCCCAATTCACACTTGTCTGGGTTGAATACTATTCCAATATCCGAAAGGCGTTGAAATAAGAGTGTAAGATGTTGATAATGTTCATCTGCGTTTGATGATGCGATTAGCAGGTCATCAATATAGACGTGAACAAAATCTAAGTCTCGTACTATGCTATCGATAAACCTTTGGAAAGTTTGAGCAGCATTCGTAATCCAAAAGGCATTTGTAGGAACTCAAACAGACCGAAAGGAGTCATGATAGCAGTTTTTTCGATATCTTCAAGAGTGACCGGGATCTGATGATATGCTCGTACCAGATTGATCTTAGGAAAGATAGTCGTGCCCTCGAGCGATGCCGTGATGTCGTGTATGTGGGGGATAGGATAGCCATCGAAACGTGCAACTACGTTTAGTGCTCGGTAGTCGCCACATGGTCTCCAACTAACCCCATCCTTTTTGCGCATCATGTGAAGAGGTGAGGCCCAGGGACTGTGAGGAAGACGAATAATACCAGTAGCTAGTAAATTTTCAAACTCACGTTTAGCGAAGGCTAAGTTGTCCGATGCCTTTCGGCGTGGTCTTGCAATGACTGAGGGTCTGCGGGTGACAATGTGGTGTACCACACGGTTGGTCACCGATGGAATCTCCCATAGTGGTTTAGTTAATTTGGGGAATTTTTCGAATAAAGCGAGGAATATATCGTCACGCGAATAAAAGGTGCCTAAGATTCGGTACGCCTTTGTGTGAGCTTTGGAGCCCATGAATTTGCTGTTTGACGAAGTATCAGTGAGCTCCAGCCTACGTGAATCGACCAGCAATTCGTAGTGTTGTAGGAAATCAATACCGATTACGGCTGTGGGAACATCGGCAATGATGAACGTCCACAGATACCGTCGTCGGTTGCCCAGGTTGACCGTGAGTTGTCGTGTACCATAGGTAGGAATGGCTGGGCCATTCGCAGCGCGTAGTCGAAGCGTCTTAGCTTGTGACTTACTGTTACCGAGAGGTACGACAGAAACTTGGGCACCAGTATCTACTAGGTACCTAGCATTCGCGCGATAATTGTGCATGTAAAATTAACGACCAACCTGGGCTGAAGGGCCGGCTAGTACGGCCACATTTACTCGCCGGCTCGGGAGTTCCCCGCCTTGTATGAGCACAGGACTCGACAGCGGTGGGCACCGGACCCGAAAGAGCGGTGAAACCAGCACCAAACCCGACTCGTTTCCGAAGCCGCCTTTTGGCGTGGTTTGGAAGATGCCCTAGTTGGACGGGTGGTTACGGCTTTCCGAGAACGTGATCTGGCTCGAGGGACGTGGGGTTTGGGTATATTGCAACGGTCTCGAAAGCTAAAACGTGTATAAATACGACCGCCCCTATCACCTTGAGCCGGTGAATGACTAGCGTCGATGTCCACGTTCGAACGTGACGTTGAGGCAACTATGTATTTGTCTCGGTTGCCAGTCCTTGCCAGTATTTTGTCTGCTTTAAGGGCCACCTGGTTGAGTGGTGTGTCCTCAAGCAGGGTTGTGATCGTTGGTTGGATGTGCGCTGGTAACGATTGAAGCCACAATTCTTCAACAATTTCGGAATCAGCTGCCGGATTACCCAGAACCGACCGCAATCAAGCACCTGCGCACGTTTAACGTTCCAGTGAGTTTCTCTGGACGGTTCATACCAGATCGCGCGTCTCATATGAGACCTTTAACCGGCCAACTTCGTGGAAATTCGAAATCCATTGATTGAGACGACATCGCGAAAAAATATTCCCAAAAACTAAGGAAATTATCTCCAACGAAACACTGATCGCACACCAGGACACCGAAGCATCCATTGGTATCTCAGTAGACGTATCCGACTAGGCAATTGGAGGAGTATAACAGCAATGGGTTAACCACATTTGACAGTCTTTATCACTCTTCTGGAAACGGTTGTAAGATACTGAATTGAGGTATAACACATTTAGCAAGGAGCCCTTAGCCATGTATTGTGTTTTGTGTTACTTTCGACAGCAAGAATTCACTCTGTTACCGATCACAAAACTTTTGTTTCTCTAAGCTCGTCTTCAGACAAGTACTCATCTCGAGAGTCTCGACAGCTGGACTACATTCTGCAGTTTACTTCAGATATACAACACATTTCTGGAGCAAACAATGTAGTTGCAGACGCCTTGTCTCGTATAACTTTCTTGAACAGTTTACAAGAAATCGACTCTTTTAAACTCACCTAGCTTCAAAATAAAGATATTGATATTCAATATGCGTTGTCTTCTACAACCCTTAAACTGCGTGTCAAACAGATGGGAATAGGTAAGGAAATTTCAGCGTGTGACACATCTACTCGTAAGGGTAGTCCAATCGTACCAAAACATATCGGCACAAGGTCTACAATACATTACATAAACTGTCCTACCCAGGTGTTCGTGCAGCTATCAAGCTCATGGCAGAACGATCTTGCTGGCCTGGTATGAATGAAGACGTGGGGGAGTGGGCTCGCTCCTGTGTAAGCTGCCAGAAATCTAAGGTGATTAGACACAACAGCTGTCTCTCAGGCTCATTCAAAACTCCCGATGTTCGTTTTGGACACGTTCATCTAGAGTTGGTAGGACATTTACTAGATTCCAATGATTGTTCCTACCTCGTAACTTGCGTAGATCGTTTCACTCGATGGGCATTACCGCCAAAACGGCAGCCCGCGCCTTCATTGAACGATGAGTGGCAAACTTCGGCTGCCTTTCAACTAAGGCTACAGACCGTGGACGCCGGTTGGAATAGGCACTTTTCCGACGTCTGGCTACACTATTGGGAATCACGCGGCTAAGAACGACCACCTATCACCCACGAGTAGTAGGTTGGTAGGACGCTTTCACCGACAGCTAAAAGCTTCCCTATCAGCTACAAACGTTTCATAGTGGATTGACGCTCTTCCATTCATCTGACGTGGTATTTGCAATGCAGTAAAAGCTGATATTGGTTAGACTGCAGCTAAACTCGTTTATTGAGTGACACCTCGACTTCCAGGAGAATTAACGGATCTTTCATCTTCTTCAACGAACATGGATCTAAACCCATGCACGAGCAGGCTTACAAACGCAATGCGTTCGGTTAAATCTGTTCCCAGTCGATCTCAGTCAACTGATGTTTTTGTCCACTTTGCTCTACGATGTAGCACACGCGTTTTTGTACGTCGCGACCTGTATGGATGACCTCTCAGAACAGCATGCGAAGAACCCTCCAAAGTTCTTCTGCGTAAACTCATGTAATATAGAATCAATAAGAACGAAACTAACGATAGCATCAGCATCGATTGCATCAAAGCCGCGTATTTGTAAGGAAACTCTGGCTATGTCGATTTCCTTTAGGTACAGTAGAGGGATGCGAGTCACACAATTACGATAAATCACCAGATAACCAACACTCGCAATGATACTCTTATAGTATCCGACAACAGACTCAAAGTAACGCGTTGTGGAAGAAGAGTAAGGTTTCCAGAACACCTAGACGATTACTGCAGGTAAGACACTACATAACACTTTGTTTCACCTCATTTTTTCCTTGTCTTTTGTAAAAAGCAAACTATATGCTTGCTTATAAGTGTATATTTCTTATTTTTCAAAAAATCATTCCGCGAAAATCGTTTTTACGCTATTGTATGTTCACAAAACGCGTGTATATGAGTTTATTTTCATTTTTCGCCTTTTTCTGTCTCTACACAGGTGCGAGTTTAATTCGACATGCAATTACTAATCCTTTATATTTTTCAGTACGGTTGGAAAAGATGAAAATAGCGAAAGTTTACAATGAATCGAGATGTTCATTGTACCTGTTTTTCATTAATAAATTGTACCACATGGCCTTTTATAATAAGGAGAGACGACCAGATGCTGCTGAATATAGCAAGCGATCAGAAGAGTGTTTATCAACGACAAACTCATTGTGTTTAAACTTCTGGCTGGCCACGCCAAGGGATCATCACTACCTCACCATGGGGGTGACCTCCGAAATCAATGGCTCCGTAGGTCTTTGAAATTTGATGCTAGCCACTTTAGTTTTTATGGACCCCCCTACCCGAAGGCGCTCGTTTACGCATCCGAACGAGATCAACTTCTCCCTCAATCGCTAGGCAGCTTAGATCAGTCACTCCTCGATATATTGTTAGCGTATCAAATATATCTTCGAACCTCTCCGCTCCTGGCTTTTTATTTCATTAAATGAGCACGATTCAATTATAGGTGTGATTGTTTAAAATGTTGTCAAAATCTAAATTCTTGTGTCATCTTCACATGCAGCGGTGAAACCGAGAGATACAAACTCAAGAAACACTAACATTAAGAAGAATCGAAAACGCAAAAGCAATTATTGGACCCCGGTAGCTGTACCGCGCTTCTACGTATACCTCTTTTCCAGAAGGGCCTACCAGCTTCACCAACTTCGCTTGGCCGGAGGGGACATGATTCAAATTAATTGAGAATACTTTTTGATGACAAACTAACGATTTGATGTCTCTAGGTATATTTGTATCGTGAATTGATATTTTAAGAAATCTGATGTTCATAAAATAATTACTAAAAACGTAAATCTAGACCAAAACACTTTTTGTTGTTGTATAAGTGAGGACTACTCAGGTATTGGGCATTGGATTGCAGCGCACTTTCCAGTTTTCCTACGTTGCACGATTTAGTCAATCTTCAGTGTAACCCTCTCCCCATACTTTCATCTTGAGAAGTAACAAAGGTTGGAGGGATGATAGAACCATCGGTAAATCCACGCAATTTTAGCGACTCCTTACATGATACTAGTCTTCAGGATGGGAAGTTTTTAAAGAGCCCAAGGGTTTTATTAAAATCATTGAAGTTGTATGTTATTCATATTTTTCATTATATCGTTATAGCTCATAGCAATCTTTGCGTTTGCAACGACGTGTGACTTCTCAACCAATGTCAAGCTAAAGTATGACTGTCGGGGTAACGGATCATCTGAACATTGGAGTGCCAAGTTTACATACCCTTTCAAGTAATCCCTCAGGTTTTTCACTTCTTTTTAGTATTGACTCCATCGTGCTGCCTCGATGCATTGCTATGGAGAGTAAACATATGTATGGGAATTTCGCTTCAGCAGCACAGTTTTATGTGTTTGTTGGTGTCCTAACTATGCTTTTCTGCGTTGCTATGGGCGTCTATTATGTCTATTTTCATGATCGCTATTTCACTGACTCACGGTTTAGTAAATACGTAAGTTCTATACACCACTCTACATATATAATAGGAATTCATCTTCTCGACTGTCATTGTTCTGTTATGGTTTATCGCCTCTTGTGCATGGGCCGATAATGTAAACCAGTTTAAAACGTATACGTCAGCAAGTCGGATCTGCAATGAAGTGGGACCTAATGTCCATTGTGAAGCCGAGGAACAAGCTACCTATGGGGGACTTAACGTTTCTCTGGTAATGATTATTCACTTTTTGTTGGTTATATATTCAACTGTTTATACAACTGAAGAATAAATATTCTTGTTTATCAGTTTGGTATTAATATTAGTACTCACGGTTTAGTCATTTCTCTTTGCTTACTAGTTGTCTTGTTGTGGATGTAGATTCCGTTGAGCAGTTAGTGGAATTCGCTGCAAAAGATGAGTAAGGAATCCTCTGTTCAGATATGATCAGGAAAACATTTTAAAAGCTGACCCGCTTAATCACAGTTCTTATTGCCAAGTTCTATGCTGAAACAAACTGGTTCTTCGGTAACTTTTTATATTTGGCGTTAAAAACTATTTTGAAAGATGTTTTGATCTTGTCTGGGTATATGCTTGAAGGTTTGCTGATTTATTCCACTTAGACTTCGTAATTTAGCTCAACTTTAAAGTACCTTCCATAAAGTCATGTGAAAACAAACTTTACCGAAAGTGAGTTTTTTAATGGTTGCATAGGTTGATTCCATCATTCTCTTTAGCACTTTTCAATGTCGTAACAAACTTTCTTTGAAAATTTAGGATTAGGGAAGACACTTGACTCTAGATTAGTATGTTGATGACTAAATCTTAGGGTCCAGAGAACGTTACTCATTTGTTGTTATTGTTCTGAATTATAAATTTTTCGTACTACCAAACTAAATGATTCAAACCCTTGTACCGTAAAATGTTAATTGGTAGTTCAGACGGTTGTTACTCAACAAAATATATATCAAAGTGTGCAGTTGTTCAGATTGAGTAATACATGTTCCATCCATCCAAACTAGTTTTTCACGTCTGGAAATTGTCATCTGAGTAACACAAAATATTAAAAAAGCCTTTTTGGATATTGGCTATTTTCCGGTTATGGAGAGCAACATTAAAAAGCTACTTTCAAAGTCGTGAGGTCCTGTTCCTTCTGCACTCCAATTTTTCCTTTGATAAAATTTGAGTAAACCGGTATTCTTCGTTAGCCCCTTAAACTAGACAGGTATCTGATAAACAGCTGTCCACCTGTACTCGCTGGACATTGAGTATCTTGTGTAGACAACTGTTTATAAATACTTTTACTGTTTTGATGATAGTTGTGGTAGTTCAATAATGTGCAAAACAAATATCAATGCGAAAAAGGCGTAATGATAATATACAAATAAGAAGACGGTAAAAATAGCAAAGTTATGTTGTGCATTGGATGAAAAACAATAACCATCATGTAATGAGTGTTACTTAAAAGTTCCTCTTTGGGTAACTCACAAATGGAGTTAACTCAATTATTGAATATCATTCTACACAGTTCGTCCCGACAGAGTAAAGAGAAATATAAATCCAATAGCGTGATTAGGAAGTAATCCAGACCAACAGTCCCATCTAGTGAAGTGGTCCATAAGGGCAGTACAATACTATTATACTCTTCAGTCAAAGGCCGTGGCCAATGGACCAGGGAAGAAAGCGATGTAGTTAGTATTTATTTGAATGCCGAAAGTGACGTAGGCATAAATTAAAACTCAACGATATCTACAACTCTTTACTGATATCAATTAATTACTAGTGAAGTCTATCCGTAATTGATAAGAATAAACAATATGCATATTACGTGCGTTCATCCGCTGACTATCTCGACAGTCAATGATGGCTGATATGGAAGTAGGTTGGAAGAAAGCTATGGGCGGCCAAATCAAGATATAGCAACAGTCCATGAAGACACTGACTATTGGACTGGGCCATGTAAATAAGTGCGAACTCCCTGGTTGAGGTCCGTACGATTATCATAACCAGTAGTTGAAGACAGGTGACGTGGCTCAAAATTGGTTACAGTAGTACAGATGCACTTTCTCTTCCCTCAGATTTTGTTTTAAAACTATCATACGTTGCCCGCAAAGTCATTCCTTTCTCCCCGAATCTCTTAGTTCTTTGAACTATTATCACTCTCACTATTCTTCGATTTGCCTTGACTATTTCATCTCTCTGTGCTAATAGAGTACAACAATTAGAACCGTCGCACAAATGTTCCAGGTTATGCTCTGCGTATAATTGACTGAGATGGTAGTACCCATAATATGCCGCGTAAGTACGGTTTTCATATGTGAAATAAGGAATACTCAAATGCAAAAATATCGCTTGAGGTCATCTTAATGATTTCAAATCCGGAGCCAAAATTGTTTCAAAGTGATACATGATAGATTAATCCTTAACACTCATGTTGGGTGAACGGGATGATTCATCTTTACGACTAGGTTTTCATTGGTGAGTTATTTATGGATCTTGGTTTTTGGACTTCTAAATAAGTCATTATATAAGGCCTAATGTCTCTGCTTTACACATATTTTAGTCTTTGTATCTGAATTATACCAACCAATGAAGATCTACTTCGTAACTTTAATAATTCAGTATGTTTTTGTTAATTTATATAAATTAGATATTTGGGTTTACCAATGTTGCTCTATGGGCAGCTGGTTTATGGTTCATATGGAAAGAAACTCCATGGTCCGGAAATAATTCTCTACTTGGACCAGAAAATATCGCTACTGCTGCCGATGGGTCTCAAATGTAGTGCGCACTCCAACAAGTCTCCATGTACTGTTCTTTCAAGAATTAGATGAACTACATTATTTTGTGTGATGATAATGAGACAAACCCACTTGTAAATCACTCATTTATCAGTTGTTATTTCTATCCATATGTTTTCCCATTTAAATCGAAGCTAACAAACGAAATAGTGCATTTTGTTTGTTTCATTACTATAAGATTACTGCTTCCATTCACAAATTGTTCATGACTATGTCGATAATTATGTTACGGCACCAGTGTTTTTGAACTGAACATTTTCTTAGGTAAAATTTCATTTTCTATCATATCATTCTTTCTAAATACATTATTCAGGTAACATTGTCCCGCTTTTTTGCCATGTCTTCATTTTGTTAAATGTGATGATAATTTTGTTGTTGTAATCGCTAATCAATCACATACATCGTTTGTATATCATAATAAAGCAAACACAATTCAGATTATACTTCTGTATGTTGTAAAGTTAGTTGTAGGGTAACTCTTCTCGGTTTAATATCGGTCCCAAGGTCGGGTGAGGTAGGAGGTTTAGGCATGGGGTCATCAACCCCATCCCGTAGAAAAAATCTTGCTAAAAAAGCCAATCAGAATAAATAACTTAAACTATTTAAGCTCTGACATGGGAGTTGAAGGATCTTCATTCAGGTGAAAGCTGAGATTCTTCGGAAGTCACGAGGCCGATCCTCTTTCTAACAATCAGAGTAACAATTAATATAGGTACACAGAATGTCTGAACAATGTAGAAGACCGGAAGGACTAGTCAAGTAGCAACGGAAATAAGAAAATACAACTTGGTGGTGCTTGGAATAAGTGAAACACAGTGGACCCAAGCTGGAGTATAAGGGCTAGATACCGGTCACTAAGAAGAAAATGCTGCATATACTCAGCGTATTGCTCCGACGCTGACCAAAGAAACTCGAAATGCACTTAAAGAATGGAAGTCTCATGGACTCAGTATCGTGAAAGCATCTTTCAAAGCAAAGAAGAAGGGAATCACGATTAATGTTGTCCAGTTTTATGCACTCACCAATGATAGCCACGATGACATTAAAGATCAGTTCTATGTGAGCCTGCAATCAATCATAGCGAAGTTCCCCCGAAAAAACATCTGATCATCCTGATGGTAGACCTAGACGCCAAAGTCGGAATGGACAACACCGGTTATGAAGATATCATGGGACGATATGGACTGACTGGGAGTAAGAATTAAGATTGACGAGAGATTTACTTGTCCTCAGCAAAATGGTTATAGTTGGCACTGTATTACCCCATAAACACATACACAAGCTGCATGCGTCTCACAGGGTCACACCATTGAGAACCAGATCGACCATATCTGTATCATTAAAAAATTCAGCTGGTCGATGGAAGACGTGAGAACTAGGGGCGGAGTTGACATAGCTCCAGATCACAACCTGTTGGTTGCCAAGATGAAACTGAAGCTAGAGAAGCGTTGGACATTGTCGGAATAGCATTTCAGCCTTTCTTGGAGATACTGACAAACTCAACCAATTCAAGACAGCTCTCAACAACAGTTTGCAAGCCTTACAAGATCTGCTGAGAGAAGAGAGAACTAGTGTCGAGAACAACTGGAGAGGGATTAAAGAAGCGCTGGATTCAACGTGTTAGGAGGTGCTTGTCACAAGAAGCATCATCATAAGTAATGGATCTCTACGGAAACCCTGGATAAGATTCAAGATGGAAAGAACAAGAAGACAGCGATTAACAACAGCCGAACCAGAACAGAGCAAGTCAAGGCGCAGTTCGGATACACAGAAGTAAACGAGCGGGTGAAGAAGAGCACTGTAGCTGACAGGCGGAAATTCTCGGAAGAGTTAGCAACAACAGTGTCGAAAGCTGCAAGAGAAGGAAATATGAAACAGCTATATGACAACGAAGAAACTAGCGGGGAAATATAGTAAACCAGTACGACCAGTCAAGTACAAAATTGGCAGGACCAATACTAAGATTCAAGAACAGTGGAGCAGTTTGAGGAACTCTTGAATAGGCCATCTCCACTAAATCGACCGGACATCAAAGCAGCACCTACAGACATTACGGCCATCAGGACAGTGAAGAGTGGGAAAGCAACAGTACCTGAAAATATTCCAGTTGAAGTCAGACTTAGAAGTAACTGCAAACATGCTTCACGTTCTATTCAAGAAGGTTTGGAAGGAAGAACAAGTGCTGACAGACTAGAAGGAAGGAAACCTCATCAAAATATTCAAGAAAGGAGGTTTGTGCAAGTCTGGGAACTACAGGGGCATCATACTACTGTACTGACAACATATGAATCGATAGAGGTTCAATTGTTACACTCAGTACGTTGTCTTACTGAGACATGGGGATGTCAAAGGACAACACTTGGTCTGTGACCATAGACGTTTATTGTTTGCCAAAAGTACAACTACAGACATTTTTATACAACCCAGAAATACCATAGGAAGTGATTGAATGGTTTTTGCTGATATTTCCAGCAGTAAAATAAACCGTTCAATCTAACTATTCTAATTACATTACAGTATAGGTTAAAATACGTAGTAGGCAAACCCCTATCTCATAAACTAGCAACCCAGAATCTTGATTTATAATTCATTTTGACTAAACTGTTTAGTTTGTGACCTATCTTCTATAAGAATAGACTAACTTAACTAATCTATCTACTAATAATCGTTAAAATTTCGAAGGTAAGTCTCATCACTAACCAACGTTAACTGGATAACCATTGAAAGCCGGGACTCAATTTTACCATTGTTTCTCCGTTGTACCAACCGAGAATCATTTAGTTGTACAACAGGCATGAGACCATTGAGCTGTTAAGTCATAATTCAACGATTCAAATCTTGCAGTTTCAGCCAGTTTGCAATCTTCATCCTACTACCACTAGTAAGTTGCTATGTTGATTGGTCTCAGACCATAACTCTGAACTTTGGAAAGTCCATTTTGAAACTAGTCATTAGGATTAGAAATCCACTCTAAAGTAATATCCATTTATCGCAAATATCGATCTTTAATTTTATTGGCCCATTATGTACTAACCTTAGTTTATATATTTTTTCATTACTGGTAGAGTTTATTTTCAGTGTAGATTGTTACATATCTTCTATATCATTAGTAATAAACCTTTCCAACTTCTCTACTGTATGTTTTGTACATGATCGGCTGACCACACAAATTCGCACTTCCTTAAACGTCTAACAAGAACACTAGAAGGTCTGATAAAAGCCGTCAATAAAACTTTCTATCCCTCTAATTCATAATTCATGGGTTTATACATGCATGATACTAAACTATAATATATTCTAATTTATAAATCTCTATAAGTATCTACAACTAAGTTATTTTTACTACAGAGTTGAATAACACATGATTAACTGAATATTACCTTATATCGATAACGTAAATAACGGTGATTAACAAGTTACATAATAGCTTGTAATTGAGATCAGATAAAAGGGTTAGTCGCAGTCACAATAGCTTATTAATAACGAGTCGTACTATACAGTCGGGTGACCCAAGTCCGAATCCCGTAGGGTGCACTAGTTCCCTCAGAATTGCAGATACACCTTGCTAACGAGTATTAACTGGTACGATACTTAAATCCGAAAGCCCCTGCCAGCAACTTCCATATGTATAACTATGTATAAATACTACGGAGTGATTTGCACATATATACTCCCGAATCATGTTCAAATCAACTCGGTAAACATTCGGGACCAATGTTCTACATTTCTCTTTCCTTAATGTTTCTCAACACAGGTAATCCCGTGACTCAATAAAATGCAATGATTCCTTCCATTTGAAGAATATTAAAGTTTGCTGAAAAATCCGAAAAATGATTATAATATTGCTGTTTTCGATAACAGCGATGAATCTAACCAGGATACGACAACTTCCTTTTTTATCCTCGACTATTCTGAAATAAAAATTAACTGATGTTCGTAGTTTGGATTGCGACTGATCCCTTGTAATGGGGTCCTGAACGTACACTTCTGAGGAGTCCCATTTCATAACAAGACAGATGTCCAGTGATTCCTGGTTTTCGATGGTAATCTAGTTAAAGTTAGTTCGGAATTCAAACTTTAAAAACTATAATCTCCATAACCCGCTCGCTATACCAACACACTGTAAATGCTTAAATTTATTAGAAAATATATCAAAACCATTATTTTTACGACTTGGTTTTGAAGGGGACGAAATAGCTAATAAGACTAATCCTAGACTAAGTGCTCCTTTGAAAATGACGTATTGAACTGCGAAATTTATGATTGAAACAAACTAAAGTAGATAAACTTCCACTTTATGTTACCTCCAGTTGTATTTGCCAGTTTACGTGTTAGTGACAAAGTATTTATATGAGAAAAACAAGAAAAGAGGTTCTTGTTCGCATCTGAGAGCACAATCCACAATCACTAAAGTCGAAAATGATATGACGATGAAAAATCAAAATTAGGATGATTTACTTGTAGTGACCTACTTTTATCAAGAGAACACGATTGGTTTAATGAAAACAATTATTATTGTAACCAATTGTACCAGTGATTGTCTTACTGTACTTGTTTACTTAACTGTATTAAAGACATCAATTATTCTTCCATTCTTGCTTCCGTTGATTGTGACCTTGCACGAACTTACATTTGCCCAGTGATTCCTCTTGTACTCCTTTGGCACGTTGTCGGTATTCTTTCGATACCACGGGATCGCCAACAAATATATATCGCTACAACTTCCAATCGCCTTCCGATATCTGGTGCTCAACCTTCTTGTAGTGGTGATCATAGTCAACCGCGACTCGACGCCACACTACATACTCATCATGAATTTTGTTCAACATTATTTACGTTTTAATTCAATGTGATAATTACTCAGTGTAGTATTTGTTTTGTTTTCCTGTATGATATTTTATTCCGTATAGCATACAATATTTTTGTATTAAATTAACATGAACTAGGCTCAGCGTGACATGTAGCATGTGATTTGTCATATATTTGATTTCATCCTAATCAATAATCAAAATGGGTGTACGAATCAATATATAAATGAGTGTATTTTCGGCTAGAATAGTCGTCGTCATGTTTCGGAGTTAATAAATCTTCATTTGTACCAGTCTTTGTGTTCTTACTTTCGCGTCGTAGGAATCGCAGTGGTTCCTCACTTTATAAGTATGAGTGATAAGCGATTCTGACATAAAAATCGGCGACGACCAGATAAAATAAAATAGCGTTCAATCAAAAAAAAATCAACGTATTTTCGACAGAGCAATTACCTGTCATCTACTTAGTACTTGACATAATGTTAATATTTCAAAAATGGTTCGGAACAGCCAATAATCAGATAATGTGGAATTTAGTAAGTTAAGCTGAAACTATCTCTATTAAAAGATTGAAACTGAACCTCTATTTTCAAAGGACAATGAAGTTGTAAGTCTCACACTATCATGT